AGAGCAGAGTTTTAGTTTTTTCCCTAGAACTTTACAATTAGTCTGGAGGTCCTATTTCCAAACAAACCACTTTCAGGTAAGACACCACAGATAACTGATTAAATTAAGGCGTGAGCATGCTCTGCTGGTCTCATTCACGGGGCACCGTCTCTGCGCAGTGTCCTGGGAGGTGTGGCACCTCCCGCTCTGCACAGTGACCACCATGTGCCCACCAGTGAGATGCTCCCTGTCGACATTTTGCCACACTGGCTCTGTCACATGTCTTCTCTGTCTGTCCATCAAACCATCTCAGTTTTCGATGCTGTTTATAAATTCCCTTGCTATTGATAAGGGATTAGGACAGACAGGTAAGGACAACTCTCATCAAAATCACTTTTGCTCTCATCCTTGCTACACATAAGAAGTTATGGTCTGCTGGGGTCTTAACAGCAGGCTTTATTCTAAGCACAGCACCTAGTGAACACCTAGGATGTGATCCTGCTGACATGGGTACTAGAGAAAGAGTCAAAATTAAGTGTTGACTATTCATTAAATTTTTAAAATTTTTTTAATTTTTAGTTTTGGCTGTGTCAGGTCTTAGTTGCAACATGCGGGATTTTCCGTTGCAGTGTGCGAGCTCAGTAGTCGTGGCGTGTGGGCTTAGCTGCCCTGCGGCATGTGGGATCTTCGTTCCCCGGCCAGGGATCGAACCCGCGTCCCCTGGATTGGAAGGCAGATTCTTTACCACTGGACCACCAGGGAAGTCCCTCAACTATTCATTTTATATTAACAAAAGGCTAATAATATCGCTAGAAATAGGCTACACGGTCAACATAAGTACAAAATTAGGTGGCAAGGATGTCTGCCAGGATTCAGGTTTGCTTTGTGGGGCCAGCAAGTAGAGACAAAAGTGAGGCATGGAAAACCTATGGTTCCTAGGAGACTCATCATTAAGTCACACCAGGGCTCAGGAGGCAGCGTGCTCTGTGAGGGGTGACGGAGGCTGTCGGGTGAGCACAGGGACCCAGGGAGGTGGGCCACAGGAGCTCCTCAGAGCCGCGGGATGTTCTAAGGTTAGTAACACAGACTCTCAACCTCATGGTCAGTAACATATTTTTGAAAGAAAAAAATATCTACAGCCCATTAACAAACATAATCAACTTTTTGTGGCTTTGAGGCCACGTCCGTCAAGTTTGGCAATGAGCTTTTGAGGGTCCTACCAAGAGCATGGCCTATGGTGTCGGGGGCGATGAGGAAGGGCCCCAGAGGGAAGAGCCCTTGCAGTTCTAGAGTCTTACCATAAGCCTGAAAAGAATAACTAACTTATGAGAAGATGTGGTCTCTACACTCTGAATTCTGTAAGTTTGATGATTTTGACTAAGCTAAAATCAGTATTAAAATGTCTCACACAGCATCTTCAGCTAGAATTTTCCTCAAAAAAAGACGTGTTTCTGAAAAGCACAAGGCAAAAAAAAAAAAAATATTCGGAAAGAAAATAAAAATTCCCAATCAGTGTGCCAACAAATCCCTGTAAATCCTCAATTTTAAGTGTTAAGAGGCAGACCGGTCTGAGACAGCTTTAATTTGACAAAGTCTGAGTGCCCTCTGATGGTCAACCAGGGGCCCTGCAGCAGATGCCATTTTTTAGGGGTCAACTTCTTTACTCCTTCCCTTCAGCCAATCAAGCAAAGACTGTTCTTTCGTGCTGTGTGGAAAAAATAAAGTAGGCGGGCTTATGACAAGAAACGTGGAATGTTTAGGGAGCTGCTACTTTGGTAGAATTTATGGAGAATTTAGCTTTGCTAAACCAGAGACAGAGACCGGGGCTTTTATACCAGAACATAAAGGACTTCCAGAAAAACCTCACTCTTATTCCTCTGGACTACTCGTTCCTTGTGATCACCTTATCATCCCAGGGGAAGCGGCACAGGGTCAGGCAAGAAGAGACAGGACGGCCGCACCAGAGCAGCAGCTGCTGCCTGGTGCCCTCCGCTGGCCACTTCCATGGCTGCAGGGCTGGCACCAAATGCCACCAGCGGCCCTGCCAGGGTGCGGTAGCTGGGTGACTTCTGCTACCTTTTCCCCAGGCAATTATGTTGCAAGCACACATCTTTTTCTTTTGGTAAAACGTTATCTCAATCCAAGCAGTAAACCACAGTTACATGGCAGGCGGTTAAAATACGCTCTCTGTTGACTAAATGGATCCGGGAGAGTGAAAACAACTTCCTGGGGAAGGTGGGGCGAGACAGTGTTTGCGGAGGAGAGGAAGCTCTGGCATGCACCTCTCAACAAAAGGGAACAAGTGGTCTTTACTCAGAGAACAGCTTCCTATTAGGACTCACTCCTTCGTACATTATGCCTTTCATCCCCACTCAACCACAAAATCATTTTGCTGAGGCAAATACAATGGTAGAAAAAGATTTACACTGAAAGAATCTTTAATAATAAACTGTTGCCTATCTGCCTACTTGCCCGTGGTTTATAATACAATAAACATCGGATTCTATTACGGCTCATGCACTGAAGCCGCTGCTCTGGAAAACGGAATATGAAAGCACGGGGACCCCACCACCATCACAATGAAATGAGCATGGATAAATGTGCTAAGAGTATCTCTTTGCATCTTTTATAGCTTGTGTGTATTAATCTGTAACGCTTATTAAGAAAGTCATTGCTATGCAAAGCAGCACCCAATCCCTTTCTCTGGCTTTTCAACAGAGTGCACTGTTTAGCCAATAGGACGGACCCTCTGGTCCTCATTCTGCATTCATCACAGGCAACATTTGCACAATGTATCTCTCAAAGGCGGCTGAAAGGAAGGCCTTAATACTCATGTAAACAACTGCAAACCAATTACTTAATGAATCAGGCCCACACATAATGAGGTGCAGACAAAGAGCTATAAATGCATTTTTGCGCCCAAGCCGCTGCTTTAAAGTAAAATCCCTCAGCTGTAGTTTGGGCTTAACTAGCACATCATAATTATTGTCTCTAGGACATCAGAGGAAGCCATTTTTTTTTTTTTTTTTAGGTCCAGCAGGGTCTTTTTTTTTTTTTTTTTTTTTTGAGGTTGCTCATCAGCTCACTGACAAAATAGAGCAAAGAAGAATTTTTAAAAGTGCTACAGCAGCACTGCACTGTTACGTTTATTCTCAAGTACTGGGTTTCGAGACCACTTGTAAAAGCAATAAAGCACGAGGAGTGACTGCAGTAAGTGGGATCCTTAAATGTAAGCCTCTAAGAAATTTCAGTGAATCCAGGCACAAACAGCAAGCCCGGGGCTCTCAAAAGCCTAAGGCGGCGTATGAACACCAAACCCAGCACAAGAACCAACCATGGCAAACAGCGCGCCAAACCCACACACTCCATGCCCAGAACTTTCATCTCTGGATTATTATCAACTGTCGAGAACCCAAGGGTCCCCTGAAGGCCTCTTTTATTTTTCCGGAAAGGGGATGATGTGATTACTTATAATTTAGGAAATTAATTTCATGCAGAAACAACAGTAATAACAAAAGGCTCCTGCCTAAAACTGAAAGGGAAAGGAGTTTGATTTTATAATGAAATATAGATGCAAGATGTGAAATGTCAAATGATCAGACTGAGAAAATGTTCTACAGAATCCAACTGCTTTCTAAATGTGTTTAAACATTACTCCAAGAATATATATACACACACACACACACATATATATATATATAAAAAAGTTTAAGAAGAATTGGCTTTTTTAGTGCCTCTAAAATATAAAGAAAATAAACACTTCTAACAATCTTGAAAACCTAAAGGGATGTATTATTAAGCCAAATGGTGCCATTAAACCCTAAAAACTACCTGTAGAATTTATTATCTTTTAAAATTTCTTTCAGGAGACCCAGAACTTGAATTTATAATATAATCATAAAAATATAATACTTTAATACTCTTCCTGTCCCATAATTCATTATCTCTCACTTCCTTCAAAAACAGAGATGAAAGATATTAAAGATAATAATTTCTAAAAATTAAATGAGTGGATTCCCTAAAATTGAACACACCAGGTTTCTAAAAGAACTTAATATCAGAAAACCAGTCTCATTTAAATATATCCAGGTCCTAAAAATACTGTAGTGTTTTTCAAAATAGAAATGAAAATGAGATTTTTTTTCACTGTAAAAATACCACATTTCTGAACAAATAATTTTATCTTACGGGACATTACAAACGTAAAGTTCCTGTTTTAAAATTTCATCAGGGCGAGCAGTTAATTCGAATGTAATGCAATCATTTACAGGACATCTTTTGAGGGGAAATGTTATTACAAAAGGCAAGCTTGTGTTGTTTTAAATGCTATTTAGCCCAAAGCGGAAAGGTAGGTATGTATCAGACAACTGCTTCTACTCCCATCCACAAATTCTTCCTAAGTGACTCAGTGCCATTGCACGACCAGTATTTTATGTTGATGACACATCTAGCACACGACTCACTTATCACTGCTCCAAAAACTTACAAGGAGTGCTACAGTTTAACAAATGTGAAAAGATAAATTTTCACATTTGAAAATAAGCAAGAAGGTATCAGAGAGGGAAAGAATAGTCCAGCCCAAATACTTGGTAAAAAAGAGGAATACAAAAACAAATATCCAGCAATTGCTTGTATATATCTCTGCGGTCTCAGAAAGAAGAAACAGGCCACTTTATTTCTTTTAAGGCCTGGCTCTTTCTCTCTGCCCTCTCCGACACCCTCCATTGTGTGGTTTCTAAGCAGCCCTACTGCGAGCAGCTGTAGACGCTAATTTGTGGTTCACTGAGGTGTCAATTGAGTCTTAAACCAAGGAAACAACAGCTGCAAAACAATACTTGGCTCTGGCGCAAATATTTTCAAAGGTAGACTAAAGTTTCCACTGTCATCTCAGATAAACAGAAACCTCAACCCTAACCTTCCATCGAGTCACAGCAAAATCATCTGCAGCCAGCGCTCAATTCCCTGAGGAGTGACACCTCCCGTCTTGCTGCCGCTATTCAGAACGGCTTGCACGACTTTACCTTGACAAAGGACTGCCTTCGCTAGACGAGAAACTCGCTTCTGAAGAGATCTTGTGAGTTGTCTTTGTCTTGAATGTACCGCTGCCAATATTCAAACCTGTGACAAGCACAAGCGTGGAGAGTGAGCGTGGCCAACGCAGTGAATGCAGAAGCGGCCTCACGATAACTTGTAAAACAAACATCAACAGAGGAAGAGCTGTTCACAGAAAGCGAGGGGCTTCTGAGGCAGGGAATGACACGGAAAGGAAGGGGGCGGCTTCCCGTGATAGTTACACAGAGTACGTAAAAAGTAAAATCATTCAAAGAGCACCATTTTAAATGGCCATGATGTGTGTGTGAGCACATGGGTCTCCACCGTGGCACTAAGCTCTGGATAATTCGAGTTGTTGTAACACGGGGGCAGCGCTGGCTCACCGAGCTAACAGGAACTGGGAGCCAGTCTCAGAAGCAACTGACACCTCTGGATGACATTACCGCCCACCCGCCTTTAAGCCCCTCTGCCAAATCCTCTCTTTTTCCCTCTCACGGAGGAGAATGAACGTCCACTGAAAACCATCGAGGCTACTCCTTAACTAGCCTGAAAGGGCTGATGGGGAAGATGCACAGTCCACCCCCTTTCCCTGGAGCCTGGGGAACCAGACCACCCCACAGTGCTCCCAGCTTGCGGGCGATCCCTGACCTCTGCCTCCTGGGCATCCTCACCTTGGACGTTTCTGCTACAAGTCTGATTCTTAACTGGCAGTCAAACTAGATCGCGGATAGAGGGTGCATAAGCATCGCCTCGAAAGGCACCTACTGCATTCCTAACCTGTAACCTGCGTGCCTGCTCATAACCTCTGAAGCAAAGTGGTTCTCTTAACAATGTGTCCATGTTCGGTCCCTACAGGGTCTGCACCCGCTTAAGGGGACCAGGTCTTTTCAGACATGAAAACAAAGCGGCTTCCTTAGAGACAGGTGTGGAGACAAGAGATCTGGCGCCTGACACAGGAGATGAGCCACGTGCCTCCTCATCCATGGTTATATCTGGGGTGGCTCTGCGTTCAGTGTGTGACAGTGTGTGACGTTCCACACCGGGCACGTGGCCCTCCCACCCACCGCCTGCTTCTCGTGGGAGCTCAGAGAAGTCCCTAGGGTCAGGGTGAGGGCGAGAATGGAAACGTGATGTGTGACTGAATGCACAATAAACTCCAGAGCCAGCATCTAACTTCAATGCCAGCCAACACTACCAGGAGCACTTCGAGGATCCCAATGTCTTACAAAGCACACGCTATGATTTTGAGTGTGGAGGATGGGAACCGAATCGAGGGGTGCTTGGCTGTACAACCCGTGTTGTGTGGATCACGTCATATGAACAAACTCGTATGTTAATCATTAGCATATTTTTTTATTTTTTATTTTTTTGCGGTACGCGGGCCTCTCACTGTTGTGGCCTCTCCCGTCGCGGAGCACAGGCTCCAGACGCGCAGGCTCAGCGGCCATGGGTCACGGGCCCAGCCGCTCCGCGGCATGTGAGATCTTCCCAGACGGGGGCACGAACCCGTGTCCCCTGCATCAGCAGGCGGACTCTCAACCACTGCGCCACCAGGGAAGCCCAATCATTAGCATATTAATAGCACTATAATTTTTGATACACATCCAAGGGACTACAACTTATGTCAAATTTACTCATTGTTTGAGCCTGTCCTATTAGCCATTCAAAATATACTTACCAAAATCACATCTGTAGAGTTACCTTCCAAACCACGTATGCCTGCTAATGGGTTGTAATGCTCCAAAAGAGGCATTACTCTCTTGGGTAATTTGTAAAATGAGGGAGGGGGTTGGATAAATACTTTCTGAGATCCCTCTGGATTCTGGTTCTGTGATTCAAATGTGAAGAAAGTGATGAAAAGCAAACAGTGAATAGGGCTGTATCTTTCTACAGTGATGCAGACCTCCACTGGGGCAGAAGCCTGTTTATACCTCAACAAACTACAATGTCTCATGTTTGCGGAGTTCAAATCACCACCACCACCAACATGGCCAGCCCTCCCCGGGGGCTTTTCTCTACCAGGCACTGTGTTGGGCATTTAACCTGCACTGGCTCACTGAATCCTCACAACAACCCAAATAACTGAATTTTGCAGTAACTAATTCTAACACTAATATTATCTAGGAAATAGCTTTCCAAAGACAGACAGCTAAGTCTGATGTACCATAAATATCTCCCTCAAAAAAATGTCTGTCTGATGAAGACACCTTTGAGACAATTGAGAAATCTGAATACGGACTGGGAATTATGTGATATTAAGAAATCATTCTGATAGGTGAAATCATTCTGATAGGTGAAATTCATTCTAATAGGAGAAATTCATTCTGATAGGTAAAATCCCAGCGTGGTGGTTTATATAAAAACTAGAGCGGGGACTTCCCTGGTGGCACAGTGGTTAAGAATCCTCCTGCCAACGCAGGGGACATGGGTTCGAGCCCTGGTCCGGGAAGATCCTACATGCCGCAGAGCAACTAAGCACGTGCGCCACAACTACTGAGCCTGCGAGCCAAAACTACTGAAGCCCACGGTCCTAGAGACCGTGCTCTGCAACAAAGAGAAGCCACTGCAATGAGAAGCCCACACACTGCAATGAAGAGTTGCCCCTGCTCGCCGCAACTAGAGAAAGTCCGCGTGCAGCAACAAAGACCCAACACAGCCAAAAATAAATTAATCAATAATAATAAAAAAAAATTAGAGGGAGTTCCCTGACAGTCCAGTGGTTAGGACTCGGTGCTTTCACTGCTGTGGGCCTGGGTTTGATCCCTGTTTGGGGAACTAAGATCCCACAAGCTACGCAGGACAGCCCCCCAAAAAAAAGAAAAAAAAAAAAGCAAGTCGTTAAAGTATACTTCCTTCTGTTATTAATCCGTTTACTTTCACAAAGGGAGTTGAGGTGACTTATACCAAAAAAAAAAAAAAAAGGAAAAAAGTGTGATAAAGTAAAAACAACTGAAAAATAATAAAAATACGATAATAACGTATAAGAAAACTAAGAAGATTACAATTGAAACAAAAATCCTAAATTGAAGGAACTACATTTAAGCTTAAAATTGAGCTCTTACTGGGATTTACAGTCTTTTCATTTGAAGAACCCCAAATCCCCCATCATTCAGGCAAGGGAGGTAGCCCAGATGACACTCCCCACTACTGATTAACAAACTGGGAAAAGGTGGGAAGGGAAAGAATTTGGGGTGTCTGTGGTGCTTAGCGACAAGGTACCATTGTGACACGTCAGGCAGAACCCAAGGGCCTGTAAGGCCATCGCCAGCACACACCCTGGAGGGAAGCTTCTTCCAAACTCCTGTTCATTAAGGACTCAAAAAGTACTGGCTCATTCTGAGATGGTGACAACCTGTTACAAAGCAAACTCCAGAAACCTCCGACAGGAGCACATCATAACACTTCCCTGTACACAGCCCTGGCCGTAGCCCTGGATCTCCCAGATACTGGCTTGTCCGCCCTGCTTACCTGACAGTGATGCAGAGGCCTCGGCCTTCTGGAATCCATCTTCAGCTTGGTGTGCACTGTCCTGAAGGGTAGACTGTTTCAGCATCTGGTAGGCTTTCGTTTCTATATATGAGAAAAAGTCCCAGGTAACAAGATACCCACAGGCAAAAGAATGAATTTGGGCCCTTACCTTACATCATACACAAAAATCAACTCAGAAAGGATTAAAGACTTAAATATAAGACCTAAAACTATTAAGTTCCTAGCAGAAAACGCAGGAGAAAAGCTTTAGGATATCACATTTGGCAGTGATTTCTTGGATACAACACCAAAAGCACACTTAATAAAGGCAAACAGGACTACAGCAAACTTAAAAACTTTTATGTGTCAAAGGAAACAATCAACAGAGCCCTTAGCCCTGCTCTAAGTTAAAGTGGGGAAGACTGTTGGGAAGGATACTAAATAAGGGTCCCGTGAAGGAACTGAGGGACACAAGCTTCCCCATTGCCTCAGGTCTCAAAGACTCCTGGGTGAAGCAGAGGATGCAGAGTTAGAGTTTTAGCAGAGACACAGCAAAACAGCACCCATGGCCACACTCTCAACATGGCCACTAACTAAAGGATTCCCCTGTCAGCTCCAGGGGCTGGCCATAGGCTGCATTCCTGTGCTTGCTGGTTCAGTTTAAGAACTGAACTACAAGGCCCGTTATTACTGGTTAAAACTACCATCATGCTGAAGGAGAAAAATATAACTTACCTTGCCCTACTGAGAATCAGTCAAGATAAAAAATAAGTATTTAAAATGAGCATCATATTTTTGAGTAGTAAATGCTATGTAATTAAAATATGCACAGATCAGGGACTCTTAACTCTGAAAATAATAAATCCTAAGGCAACATTTTTTAACATTGCTGGACTGTGAAATCAGTGTCCATTGGAACTAGCACTGATAGTCTGAAAACTTTAATAAAGAAAACACCAGATGCAGTACACGCACGAGGGGAAAGTATTGTTTTGTGTAACATCTGTGTGTGTGGGGGGAAGTGGCCTGGGATACAAAGTGTTTCTTGCTGTAGGTTAATCCCAGTGTCCCAGGGTGGCTCGACAGGAGTGCATCATAACACTCTCCGATTAATCCTAACAACCTTATCACCTCACATTCATTGTCAGGTAATCTGTTGAGGGGGTAAGGTATTAATAAAATCAAAGGTGGAGTGTCTGAATTCTAAAAAGGTAAAGAATCACTGTAAAACAGATGAAAATGCGGTTTTGTTTTTATTTTATAAAGATCAGCCAAAAAGACTTTCAGCTTTTAGGATACAAGTCCAGATTTTAATGACCATGTGCTATTTCTGCATTCAGTGAAACTTATTTGGTCAAGGAAAAGATAGCAAAAGATAGAAAGAATTTTTTTTAAAGAGAAATGAAGGAAGGAAGCGGGGAAAGAGGGGAGAGAAAGAGAGAAAGGAGAGCTGCTTCTTGATGAACAAAGGCTCCTGGTGGCTGGAAGCTGGAGCTGGGCTCTGCTGTCCACCATCTGAAGGGAAATCATTTGACTCCAGTAAGCCAGCTCTCAGGCTTCTCAGAAACCAAGAAAACATGTGCTATTTATTTTCAGGAGAGGATTTTTGTGCAAAATATCAGGTTAGTAGCTGTGAGGTGATTTCAGATTGGGGGTGGGGGATTAAGTATTCTGTCCAAATACAAGACGGAATGTATCTCATCTCTGGTGTGAGCCTGGAAGGGAGGACCGGGCAGCGAGTCACCCCCGCCCAGGGGCCATCCTAGCGCTCGGAAATCAGCTCCACATGTCTCCCACACTGGGGCCTGCCCGTCCTTCTCGAAGGACTCGGACTCTCTCACTGGGCTGCCCGTCCAGGCTGCCTCAGTCTGCTTTCAACGGTACAACAGTTTGGAGGGAGAAAGCTCATCTCTCCCGCCCACGCAGCCAGAGCCCCCCCCCCCCCCCCCTTCCCACGCCCGGCTCCTCACGGGCACTTGATCCTTAAACCTCCTGTGGTCCTTCTCCAAGCAGAGTCACTGGCGGCCGTCCGGACAGTTTTTATGTGGGATGTGGCGGCCCTGACCCGAGTAATCAAGGGTTGGCACGATCCAGCTGAGGACCGCCGGGCACATCGCCTTCCCCCACCTCCAGTGCACGCTTCCTCTAATGGTTTCAGCGCAGAGTGAGGTTTAAAAGGTGAAAGGATTACGTGCACTCCCTTGGAGGAACAAACACTAACTGAGGCAGGACCAGCGACCCCAAAGCAGCCGGAGGGGTTGGAGCAGACGCTCAGGACTGGAGTCGTTCTCCCACAGCACCGGATACCCTTATTCACTGTTACTTTAGTCAGAAGAGCTGCACAAAACAGCAGACGAAGAACTGAGAGATGACCCAGAAAGGAAAAACAAAATCAAGGTTTGGTTAAAAAAATGATCAGGAGAGGTTACAGGCTACACAGCCTGTGGAGAAACAAGGGAAGAGGGGTTCAAGTACACAGATTCTGCAGCAGAGAGGACAGGGCAGGACTGTCAGTGCAGACACTCTCTGGGGCCCGGCAGGACCACACACGTGACTCTGGCCAGATGGGAGCGGTAGGAGGGGCGGGAGAGCTCACGCCCTGTCCGGAGGGGACAGCTGTTCTGTGGCCACGGCCGACTGCTGCCAGCCGGGAAAGCGGGCCTAGTCTTGCCAGATTTCTGGCTTAAAAAAAAATTAAAACACTGCACAGGCCACACAGAACATACTTGCAACCTTGAAACTAGACAGCGGTGAGCAATTTTTTCTGTGTCCACTGAATGTGGCACAAGAACACTCAAGAGAAAAACTTCAGCCAAGGGATACAAGCTAGATGTTAAGGATAGCTTTCTCCGCTAAAAGAGCTGACATAGCCCGGGACATAGGATCAAGGAGGCTGCAACAGCTGTCTGGAGATTGCTAGGGCGCTGTCTGTATCAAACGGACCAGATTCCAGAATTTTTGGAAGCAAGAGTATACTTTTTGCTCAAACAATTCAGACATTCTCCTGGAACAGCCTAGAAGACTTGGCCAGGACACCAACGGCATAAAGCAAAGCCACAGAGTTGAAGTCTGTGGCACTTCAGGCCCAGACTTTTCTGGAAGGAAGAAGGGCAGTGAGGAATCAAGTGGCTGAAAGCCGCATGGCGTAGCCCTGCAAATTCAGTTGTTAAATGAATGAGTGAACAGACAGGGGAGCGAAAGGAATAAAGCTGGAGGTTCCAGTTGGCCTGCTGTAAACAAGGTCGGGACGAGGGTAATATCTCAATATTTCCAAGGTGAAAAGACCTGTGTCTTAACTGCAGGGACACCATAAGTCTGCAAATTTGAGGACTGGGTGGCCCCTTAAGGCTTCACTTTGTAGCCTGTGACTCAGAACTCCAGAGAAATACTTCCTCCCGTTAGTAATGTCAAACCCTCAGAAAAAAACTGAGTAGTGCAAACAATTAGATAAAACAAGCATTTCTAAGAATACAATGATTTTCAACTAGATGCTCTGGCGCACACAGAAGTAGTGTACACGCAGGCGCAAGTTTCCAGCTCTGGGCTGCTCAGTCAGGCTTCCATTACACATTCAAAGCTGCGTCAAGACTGAGTTTCAAAAGTAGAAACTACTGCGGCTGAAAATACAAAATAAGGCAAGGGGTCCAGGGGTGAAAATCTACCCTTAGCTATCAATTCCAGACTGACGACACAACAAGAGAAATACATTTTTCCTTACTCTGTTACACAAGCTGGCTGAACCCCATCACCTATCTTCCTGCCAAGTGGTGATGGATCACCGAGATTTTTTTTTTTCTTTTTGATATGCATTTTGTCTAGAAAATGGGAACAGAGAAAGAAAATGAAAATGTGCTGAATAAAGGGAGGCAGGAGAGCGATGATGCTGAGGAGAGAAAGAAAAAGCCTCAACTTCTTATCTTTCATTCTCTTTTATATGCAAATGTACACCTGCTAAAATACTTCTAAATCTACCAAATAAAAAGAAAAAGAAAATATCTGGCGAACAAGTGCTTTTAACAACCCATTACAAGAGCCAGATAAACACGTGTTTCCCCAGCCTCTGAGGGGTGTCTCCGTCTCCAAGGCAGAGGCTCGGCCTGGCTGGCCTGGCTTTCGCAGAAATCCCTGGTGAAGAAAAGAAGAGAGGGAATAACAAAAGGAGATGCAAACAATGCCATACTACAGCTAGAAAAGCAACCCTGAACCGACAAAGAACTGGGCATCTCTGAGTCAGGAAGGATAACTGATTCCTGTAGGAAGCATGCAGAAATTCTAAACTTAAATTCGAAAAATAGTTTCTGCCCACGAGTTTCCCAGGGCTAACGCTTTTCATGTATTTCTGCACCCATGCCAATTTTTCATTCACACTGCACTAGATGTGTTGCTGATGGAGCAAACCCAGTTGTCTTTGCAAAATAAAACAAAAATTGTGGGATGTAACTCTAAAATTAATTCTAAAGGTAAATACTATTACTTAAAACCCAGAAATCACTTGTCTAGCAATCTACTCAAATTAAAACAAGAAACTATTAGGCTAAGGGTGCTTTCACAATTCTGAAAATACAGAAGACTCATCTTATGTTTAGGAATTAAAAAAAAAAATGCCACACGGGACTTCCCTGGTGGCGCAGTGGTTAAGAATCCACCTGCCAATATAGGGGACACGGGTTCGATCCCTGGTCTGGGAAGATCCCACATGCTGCAGAGCAACTAAGTCCGTGCGCCACAGCTACTGAGGCCGTGAGCCACAACTACTGAGCCCATGTGCCACAACTACTGAAGCCCACGCGCCTAGAGCCCGTGCTCCACAACACGAGAAGCCACCGCAATGAGAAGCCTGCGCACCGCAACTAGAGAAAGCCTGCGCGCAGCAACAAAGGCCCAACGCAGCCAAAAATAAATAAATTAAAAAAAAAAAAAGAGCCACACGTCTAGGTGAACGTGAGAGGCACACAGGCTGGCTCTATAACCGGAATTACTTTTCATATCTAGACTTTCTGCGGTAACCACGACTCTACCAGCAATCCTGGGCCTGGGAGCCTCTTGTCCAGGTTTCCTCCGTCCTCACACAGGGAGGGCAGATGCACGGAGAAGGGAAACGC